TCTCCATGGGTACTGTCTATGCTTCCTACTTGGTCCTGTAACTTTTCTGGGCACCAAAGCTCCTACTGTTCAGAATGCAACTTCCTGTCACCTGTCAGAAGACAGTAATGGGAATTTTGTAAATAGCATGTGTCCTTTAAGTCACAGTATTTCACATATGTGTCTCCAATGCCATCAGGTTCTGTCCTGAGGTTTCACAAACCCAAAAGCCACTGTCACTTTTGAGGGCCTCCCTAACATGAATCTTAGATATATTTTAAGTGCCATCTTCCAACACTCCCCCTGACTATTAGCTGAAAAGCTGAGTAACTATTTTCAGATGATGGGCCAATAAATGCCACTGTATGTATTCACAGAGATTGCTCCAAGATTAAAGAGAGATTACGCCAAGATTAAAGATCATACTAACTAACCCTTTTGGGATCTGGTAAATTGCAAATGTCCTCAAATCCAAAAAAATTCCTGCAAGCTTGGAAAGTTTCTCAAAGAGTCACGCAAACATTTAAATCCAAAAAGACATACTCTTAAGGAGTTTTCTAGGGAGAGCCTTCTAGAGAATTCAAGTTCTGTAGTTGCAGAGTTTAGATAGGAAGAAAGGGATGAGAAGGATGAGATATGGGGAGAGTCAAGTAAGGATCACCAACGGTAAGAACTAGCTTTCTGCAGAAACAAAACAGGGAGACTGAAGATCATCATCATTTGAGTACCTTTGGTGCCCTATGCTTTCTTGCCTTATAATCCTCAAAGTCCTTTGACGCAGAGCTAAATGTTCCCAATTTAACACACTAAATTCCTTTCCTTGCTTTTACCCCATGGCACTTTCACTTTTTAAACTGTATGATTATTTGTTTTGCTTATTATTTGTCCTCACTAGAATGCCAGGTCCCGGAGAACCAGTATCCTGGTTCTGCTTTATTCACTGTTTTCTGGGAACCTAAAACAAATGAAGGAGTGAACGTAGGCGTGGATGCCATGAGAGAAGAAGGTGATCTCTCTCTCTGTTAAATGACTAGCAAGTTCTGTTTTCAATTTGGGGTATGGGGGTGGGGCTATACCTGATGGATCTCACCAAGGATCTCTCCTGGTAGGTGCTGCTGGGACCAGATGGTTCAAGTGTTTTACTCTATTTCCAGCCACCAAATGACTAGTGAGTGATAGAGCCCAGATTGGAAGCCAGGTGGAACCCAGGTTGGTCAGCTGCGACCCTGGTAAATCACAACAGGACTGAAGCGTAAAATGCGCTCTAAGGAAGACAGGCAGCATGTTTTATTTTATTTTATTTTTTATCATTTTTTTATTAGTGAAACACCATGAAGTACACTTATAGACTTATAAATTTTTGTGCTTGGGTTTCAGTTATACAATGATCAAGTACCCATCCCTCCACCAGTGCCCATCCTCCCCCACCAAGGGTCCTAGCATCCCTCCCCCACCCCTCCCACCCTGCCGCTGTGGCAGGGCATTCCCCCTTGTTCTCTCTCTCTTCTTTTGGGTACTGTGTTTTGCCAGAGAGGCATTGAGTGGCAATCATGTTTGGTCTATAGACTACTTTTAGGCAGGCAGCATGGTTTTAAAAGGTTAATTAGGAAGAGGTGCTTGCAGGCAAAGCAACTGCGTAAAAGGAGCCAGGAAATGGGCCTAACTTTTGATCCTTGACAACTGTGGCCAGGGCACAGCACACCTGGTTGTCAAAGTTCAAACTGCAGACCCTGAAGGGTGCAATTTCAACAAGAAACAATAAATACAGAGTGGCAAGCCAGCTAGAGGTGGCCATCCTTAAGGATCTATAAAGGGTCCGTCCACCCTCAGATGCTAGTCTCACTGCTTTTACTGTGTGACCTGAGGCAAGTTCCTTAATCCCTATATACAGGGATCTCTGACCTTCTGATGACAGACAGAACTGATGCATGTAAACTCCCAAATCAAGACCATGCCCCTCCCCCCCATGCCCAATATACAGTATTTCCCTTCTCTAACTTTGGTGTCACTGGAGAAGGGCGTGTTTGGAAAAGATGGGTAGGGAGATGCTGAAAAGGTTAACTGGGTATATTCTGTGAGCTTTTAAAAGGATTCTGACCCGATCTGGAATAGCACCTGCTTGGTTTGGCAGATGGATTGAAATGGATTAAACTGCTCCTGGGCAGTTCCTCAGAGGGCTTTGCTGTAGATGAGTGAGTTCCAGGAGCGACTGTTGGGCAAGTCCCAACGCGCCTTCTTTGGGATGGAAAGAAATGTCCTACAGGACTGGCCATTTTGCACGCTGCAGATTCAGAACGATAAAAATATCAACAGCCAATAGCCACCGACACCATGTTAGGGCACTTCACTCTCCCCATTTAATCATCAGTGAACCCGAGAAGTAGCTATTTCATCTTCATTATGACAACCAGAAACACCAAGGCTTAGAACAGCGGATGGAGCTAAAGTCGCACGTTCAGAAGAGACACAGTGTGCACGCAGCGTCCCTCACTTCAAGGCCTGTGAAATCGCCCTTCTTGGATCCGACCGGTCAGAAATGACATTTAATAAATGTCTAGAAGGAACGACACCCCATTAAGCCCTCGGGTTCAGGAGCTGGGTTTGGGGTGGGCAACGAAATACTTCCAATTCCCTGATACGCTGAGTACTGAGATGAGGACCCTCCCGAATCGATGCCCAGGTAACTTGCACTTGAAAAGTTGGTCAGTGGGAACCATTTCCCCTCCCCGGCTCTCCCTCTGGAAAGATTTTGCCCTTCTCGGTTCCGCGCCTCTCCTCGCCCCAGATCCAGCCAGCTAAGAAACGACTTGGGTGGGAACTTCTGGAACAGGTGGGGGCGGGTCGGAGGCGTCAGCTGCCGCGCAGCTCCCTTCGGTTTGGAGCTGGAGGGTATCCAGAGAAATACGGGGGATTTTGTTCCAAGGGATGCCCAAAAAAGGTGCGAGGAGAGGAGCGCTGCGGGCCCCCACTTTGCCGCGCGCGCTCCTGGGCTGGGGGTGGGGTGCTGCGTGCAGCAGCAACAGCTCCAAAATTGGCAACCCGGGCCGGGCAGCACAGCCTTCTTGGAGTCGACGTGGCCCCAAACGAAGAGGGTGGGATGGGGATGGCTGGGGGAGTGGGGGAACAATAAATAAATAAATACAATTGCCAAGGCGGCGCGGGGGTGTGCGTTGGCAGGCCCGTGGGATCGGGGCGCCGGGCCCGAGGAGACCCCGCGACCTCAGGCGCCCCGGCGCTCGCCTCCCGCACGGTGGGCGCCGGGCGTCCGGGGCGGGGAGGGCGCGGACGAGTCGCTGTCGCCGGGCGGCCGCCCTCGCTTCCTCCGCGGCGGCGGCGGCGGCCGGACAATGCGCAGCCTCCTTTCCGCCGGGGGTCGGGCGGGGAGGCCGGATTCGGGCCAGCGCCTTCCGGCCGCCGCGCGTCTCCCCGCTCCCTCCTCCCCACTCCTCCCCCCGACCCTCGGCGCTTGGCGGCGGCGCACAGGTGGTTTTCCGCTCGGGGGGAGCACTGGAAGATAACAATGCAGCCCGGCGCACCCCCCCCGGAACGCGCCTCCCAGCCGCACCCCCATCCGGCCGGGCCGCGCCCCCTCCACCCCCCCCCATCCCGTTCGCCGGCGCCACTGCCGAGCGCGGCTCCGGGCTGGCCAGCGCCTCCCCGGTTACCTGCGGGGCCGTCGCCCTGCTCGCCGCTAGGGGGTCCCAGCCGGGACGCCGCCTGGCTCGCACTCGGCCTCTGCCCTTTCGGGGTCGCCCAGAAACCTCCGGATGAGAAAGGGGAGGGGAGCACTGAGAAGCTGCAGGGGGGACACAAGGCCCAGGCGCACCCGGTGCTTCCCTCCTCCTCCCCCCCAAGTGCTCGGTGCGCCCCTCCGGCGAGGAAAGGGAGGCCGGAGACTGGGAGGTGGGGGTGGGGTTGCGGGGAAACGCTGGTCTGACCTAACTCCTTGTTGGCTGGAACTGGTTCTCGAGGTCCGCAGGCCACGCAGGGGGACTTGCCCGCGCCTCGCGGATAGGGGGACCCAGCCCCGCGAGCCCTAGCGCCCCTCTTGCTCGTCGGCCAGCTCCGCGAGCCCTAGCGCCCCTCTAGCTCTTCGGTGGGGCAGAAGTGATGAAAGAGCGCGACCCCGCACACACCGCTAGGAGCGGGGAGGAGGGACTCGGCTTCCCAGAACAATGGCTCATAAAGCCCCGCACCGTGGAGAGAAATGAAAACATTGGACTTGCACTCCGCGTTTGTTCTTGCAGTCTCCACCATAAATATATATTTAAAACCCCATAATTTAAAAGACTTTCAAAAAAATACAAAACCCCACAGCGTCCTTCTTATCTGGACGACCACACGTTTGTTTGCTCGTTTTAAAATGTTTCCCCCCCAAATCCCGGTTTGTTTCGAAAGATGTTGGATTAGCATTTAACACTTCATCGGTCACCAAAGCCTAGGCAGTGCACCAGCCCCAACACAGCCTCGGCTAAAAGAACATCAGAGCAAACAGAGCCGGGCTTTTGAAACTGGCAAACAAATGCCACACAGCGCCTAAGAGGAGGAGGGCGGTGTGTGTGTGTGTGTGTGCGCGCGCGGGGTGGGGGGGTGTTGTGGGTTTAGGAGAACTGTGTTCCGAGCGAGTTTAAAGGCAGTGAAAAGGGAAAATGAACAAGTTTCCCCTAAAGCTCGCTGGCGAGTGCAAGGCTTTCGCGAACGAGGGCTTTTGTGCCTGCTAATTGCGCCGTTTGTACGCAAAAGTTCCGACGCGAAGTGTGAACTCTCAACAGAAGGAAACACGAGACAACTGAAGTGCCCTGGTTTATGTGCCCCGCTCCTCCTCCGCCGCCGCCTCCTCTTCTTTCTCCTTCCTCCCGCGGAGCCCGCTGTTGCAGCTTGTTTGCACTGGGGCTTATCCGGAGCGGAAATTCCTTTCCGTTTTTGTGAATGACAAACTCATTAACAATTCATCAACACAACCTGTTCCAGCCGGCCCGTCCCCACGGCAACAGCCCCTTCCGCAGCGCGCTGATTGGCTGGCCCGGAGAATGTATCCATTGAGACGCTCGCTGTTTGTATCCATTGAGGAGCTGCCTCGCGCTGGGGGTGTGCGAGGGCTGAATCCCCGCGAGCGTGAGCAAATCGGGGCTTGAAATAATCGGCGGAGAAAGACGCTTGGGTGGATTTCAGGTGCAGCCTCCGAGGGAGGGATTAGCAGCCGCTGGACTTTTTCTTCCTCCCCTCTCGGTAGCACGGGAGTCCGAGTTCATTGGATTTCATTCACCGGGGAGGAACAAAAACTGTCCGAGCAGCTTCATTCAGAGACATTCATTGACACCCAGAGCTGAGAGCGCACGGCTGCAGCCCGCTGCAGACAGAGGGATCCGCCGGCTTCGCTCTCCGCCTTCCCCACAGGTGCATCCCGGGTCTGGGCAAGGCCAGGTGGAATTAAAAGCCCGCTCCGGGAACGGCGGCTTCTCGCGGCGCCGCTCGGCCGATGCCCGCCCGGAGGGGCGTCTGGTAAGGCGACCGTCGCGCGCCCTCTCTCGCAGCTCGCCCCCCATGATAGATACGCTCAGACCCGTGCCCTTCGCGTCGGACATGGCGATCAGCAAGACCGTGGCGTGGCTCAACGAGCAGCTGGAGCTGGGCAACGAGCGGCTGCTGCTGATGGACTGCCGGCCGCAGGAACTGTACGAGTCGTCGCACATCGAGTCGGCCATCAACGTGGCCATCCCGGGCATCATGCTGCGGCGCCTGCAGAAGGGTAACCTGCCCGTGCGCGCGCTCTTCACGCGCGGCGAGGACCGGGACCGCTTCACCCGGCGCTGCGGCACCGACACGGTGGTGCTCTACGACGAGAGCAGCAGCGATTGGAATGAGAACACGGGCGGCGAGTCGGTGCTGGGACTGCTGCTCAAAAAGCTCAAGGACGAGGGCTGCCGTGCCTTCTACCTGGAAGGTACGCATCGGGACAGCCCCGCGGGGCCAAGGCTGCGGGGAGCGGGGTTTGAGGGTAGTGGCTGTGCTTGTTTGTTTGTGTGTGGAGGGTGTGCACGAGCCGCAAGTGGCCCTGCTGGTGCTTGGCTGCTGCTTCTGAGCCGCCCTGCCCCTCCAGGCGGCCACCAGCCGGCTCAGGGCTGCAAACCGCGCGCGTCCGGGACCACTAGAGCCCGGCCCGTGCAGAATTAATCGCTTCCGGCTGCGAGCACGGACCCTATTTCTTTCTAACGACTTCTTTTTTAACACGAAGTATCCTTACCGTCCCCGCTTTGTATGACGGTGTTTTGGACTGAGATTTGCAGAGACGTCAGAGGCCATTAGGGCTGCAGATTGGAACCTTATATATAGCCCCTTAACGGTCAAGTTGCTGTTTTGTGTAGTTCCGGACTTAAAGGAATAAGAGGTCTCCGGAGGGGCAAACCTGTTAGTGTTGCTCCCCGGTGCCCTTTTTATTTTTTGATTTGGCGCTGTGTAGGGGGTTGGGGGAGGGGACGGGGGTCCTGTGGGGTGCTGTGGGGGTTCCCGCGCGCTCCTGGCTGCGGTTCGCACAAGCTGTGAAAACTACTACTGCATCTCGGGTTACACGCTTGCTTTTCTCCTCCTGGCAGGTGGCTTCAGTAAGTTCCAAGCCGAGTTCGCCCTGCACTGTGAGACCAACCTAGACGGGTCCTGTAGCAGCAGCTCTCCGCCCTTGCCCGTGCTGGGGCTCGGCGGCCTGCGGATCAGCTCCGACTCCTCCTCGGACATTGAGTCTGACCTTGACCGAGACCCCAACAGTGCCACGGACTCGGACGGCAGCCCGCTGTCCAACAGCCAGCCTTCTTTCCCCGTGGAGATCTTGCCCTTCCTCTACTTAGGCTGTGCCAAGGACTCCACCAACCTGGACGTGTTGGAGGAGTTTGGCATCAAATACATCCTAAACGTCACCCCCAACTTGCCGAATCTCTTCGAGAATGCAGGAGAGTTTAAATACAAGCAGATCCCCATCTCGGATCACTGGAGCCAAAACCTGTCCCAGTTTTTCCCCGAGGCCATTTCTTTCATAGGTGAGGCTAATGAACAGTTTTCTCTTGACTTGAATGCAAAACTCCCTGCCACGCAGAGAATTTAAGCTGTTAATCGTTCTTGCTGCCTGCTAGTTTGTCAGAGTCTAGGTCTGCAATGTTCTGAGGGCATTTTAAAATTCAAGTCAGTCTTCTCCCCAAAGAAAGGGGGAGGGGACATTTGGCAAAGACTGTATGTAGACCACAGGTGTATTTGAAATGCAATCTGTTTCTTGAATCTTTGAATTCGGTCATTAGAAATGAGGGACCTTTCATAACTAAACAGGGTTTTCCCAGACCCTAGGCTTAGGGGAAGGGCTGGAGCATTGCTCTATGATTTTAAAGATCTTAGAGGTGTTTTAGGACATCAAGTTAGTTGTTGGAAAGCCTTATGAATGCTCAATGTTGTAATCCAGCCGAATGTTATGATGATGCCAGTAAGAGAGCTGGGGTAACCTGAACCCTGCAGGAAGGGCTGTGGGCTGGAAGCCTGGGAGAAGCGAATCTCCAGGCATTGTAATGCATTTCCTATTACAAAGGAACTCATTTTCAGGCCATGTCGACATCCTGTTCCTCTTAATGGGCTGTCCCCTGTGACTTCCCTCTCTCTTTTAAAATGCCTGAATACCTCCATTGTTAGCTGCACAACAGTTGGAGAATAATTTAATAGACCCTTGCAGTCTGCTTGTCTGTATAAAAGGCATTCACAACCATATTGCAGGGTTTCTGGTATTCACATGCTGAGGCAAAGAATGCACACATTAAGGAGATTTTTGTTGGTCGAAATTTAATACAAAAGCCCCCTTTTCAGAAAATATCTGAAATATGCCCTTCTAGCCCAGTGTACATGTTTTATTGCAGTGATAGATTTTCTCCTGCCTCCAGCCCTTCTTCCACTGCCACCCAGGATGATGATTTTTTTAAATCTCCATTTAAAAAAGTCACTTAGATTGATCATTCCCAAAGGGTGGTGGCTTTTTCATTTACTGACATTTGGCCTTTTCTTCTTGTGTTTACAGAGGAAGCCCGAGGCAAAAACTGTGGCGTTCTGGTGCATTGCTTGGCTGGCATCAGCCGCTCGGTCACCGTGACTGTAGCTTATCTCATGCAGAAACTCAACCTGTCCATGAATGCTGCTTATGACATAGTCAAGATGAAGAAGTCCAACATCTCCCCCAACTTCAACTTCATGGGCCAGCTTCTGGACTTCGAGAGGACGCTGGGACTCAGCAGCCCCTGTGACAACCGGGTTCCCTCCCAGCAGCTCTACTTCACCACCCCCTCCAACCAGAACGTCTACCAGGTGGACTCCCTGCAATCCACGTGAAAAGTCCTTCGCTCCTCCTTGCTGGGATGTGTCTCTTCCTGCAGCAGTTTCTCTTGGCAGCACCCATGGGGCTGTTTTCTTTGTCCCTGGCCCCTGGTGTCAACACGACATTAGCTGTCTGTATTAGACAAGGTTACCAAGTGTGGAATTGGTTATTACAAAGGGAGAGATTTGCTTTATTCTCCTGGAGAGAACAGGACATGCTGGATAGACACAGGCAGTAGGTTCGCTCTGCACTCAAGTGTACAGCCTCTACCCATCCATGCAGGGACTGGAAACTGAGGACTTCCAGCTAGCCTAGGGTAGGACCAAGTGGTTAGGGTAGGAGGAGCATGTGTTCTTTTGGGCCTTGTATGACTGTTTCCTTTTGCATCTGGAACTGACTCTATATTGTCTTCAGTGAAGACTGATTCAATTTTGCATATAGAGGAGCCAAAGAGAGGTTTCAGCTCTGTATTTGTAGTATCGGTTTGCAAAAAAATAATAATAATAAATTGTACCTGAGACTTCATTTGATTACTGTAAATATTTGATCTTCAGTCACTTGACAGTGTTTGTTTGAATTGTGTTTGTTTTTTCCTTTGATGGGGTTAAAAGAAATCATCCAAAGGGAGAAAGAGCAGTGTGACCACTTTTTAAAAGAGAAAACAAAGGAATCGTTTGCTCTTTTCTGATCCAAAGGATATGTTGGTAGCATGCTTCACTCCAGCAATTCTCAAATGACATTTTCATGGACACTTAATTGCTGAGACCTTGTGATGGTGCCGTCTCCAATCTTCTTTTCTATTATCCTTGTGGTAATTTTATTTCCCGTCCTAATGTAGGTTGACTATGCCTTACCTTTGTAAATATTTTGGCTTGTGTTGTCTAAAAGGGGGAGATCTTTGAAAGACACCAAAATCATGGGCTCACTTTTTTAATTTTAACTTCAGCTGTGCTAAACAGTATATTACCTCTGTACAAATTCTTCAGGGAGTGTCACCTCAAATGCAATATTTTGGGTTGGTTTATTTCCTTTTTGAAAACAATTTGTATAAAAAACTGGAAGAGTGTGTGTGAGCATGGTACCCATTTGAAAGGTGAAGTGTATCTGATCGTGAAGAAGGGACTGTTAAGTCGCTCCATTATGTTCATGGTGTAAAGTTTTGAGCTGAAATTTATTATAAGAATGTAAAACCTTAAATTATTAATAAATAACTATTTTGGCTATTGAATGCGTATTTCTTTTCAGATCTCTCCATAATTGTACTTGTTGGTGAAATGACACTGTTGGGGATTTTTTTTTCCATGAGACACAGACTGGCTGATATGGAACAAAAAACAGCTCAAAGTTCTTTTACCTTTTAGCTATTTCAAGTATGTTTTTCAGGTGCAGCTTATGAAATTGCATCGTTTGCTTGAAATAAAATATGGAATGAATTTCCCCTCTTCTGTGAATGGACAGAACTTTCTCTAAGAATAGCTCGTTTATTTTAGAAATTAGAATACCTAAAAAAACAAATGAAGTCAGAAAGCAGCACCCCTTTCTGAGGCATAGGGTTTGGACAATCGTGCGCAGTCATGGGGGTTATCACATCTTGGTCTTCCCTTCCCCATCAAGATCTTTTTTCAATAAAACATGCCAGTAAGAAATTGGGGAGTTTTTTTCCCCCCAGTCTTATTATCATTTTACCTGCAAATGATCCTAATGTTGGAAAAGCAAATGAGTCAGCACCAGTATCAGCACCTTTTCCTTCACATGCACATGACAAGACTTATCTAAGCCTCTCGCTGATCCTGGATGTGGCTTTAAAATGTCACACTGACACTTGAGATAGAGCTTTGCCACTCCTGATCTAATGTGCTTTGCGCTTAACTGTTTACAATGTAGACCAGAAACCCCCACTGAATGTTACATTTAAGTTATTTTGATCTGGTTCTGGCAAAGATGTAATAGTTTATCATTTTCCTTGGGACATTCCTTCCTCTTCATCTCAACTGTGAAAATATATAAATTTAAAATTAAAAAATAGGCCTGGCAACTCACAAGAGTCCTATGTGTTGGACCATATCAAGTAAGCATAATCCCTTTATCTGCACTGGGAAGAAATAATGAACTTTTCACCCACATGGCACCATTGAAACGCTGTGTTGTTTATGAGTTTTAGGAGGTAAATGGTCATGATTCTAAGGCAGTTATGTCAAACTATCCAGTAGGACGGGTAGCAGTGGAGTAACTAAAAAGAACAGCACAGGGGCTGGAGCAATATAGCACAGTGGGTAGGCATTTGCCTTGCACGCTGCCGACCCGGGTTCGAGTCCCAGCATCCCATATGGTCCCCCGAACACTGCCAGGAATAATTCCTGAGTGCATGATCCAGGAGTAACCCCTGTGCAGTGCATTGCCGGGTGTGACCCAAAAAGCAAATAAATAAAATAAAAAGAACAGCACAGAAAATTACCAAGTCAGTGTCGTACTTGGGTGCCCGGAGTCAGCCAGAGCCCAGAAAGGAGAAGTGGGTTGCAGTTCAACTTGGCTCTAGTTAATCCGGTTCTGAACTGTTTCCGCTCCTGGCATTCCCTAAACTGCCTGTTCAAAGTAGGGATTTGCAAGCAGCGTTAGCAATTTCCTGTCCAGCTGCAGCTCAAGTAGCTGCGCGCTTTTATCTCCCCCCTTCTTTTCTCTGATTTCTTTTCTCTTTCTTTCTCTTTCTTTTTTTCTTTCCTATGGTGTGTGGATAATTTTAGTACGTTTCCTCTTTGTGGATTATCATCTTCCCTCTCCAACCTGCATACATTGAGTTCCTACTGCTCAGCCGACAGCTGGCCTGCCCAGCACTTCCTCTCCTGCACTGTGGGTTTGTTGTTTGTCAGTCCACTTCTGAAATTAATAATGTTTCCTGGCCAAATGCCACAAGCCATTACCACAAAGGGGAAGTAACACATATGAATAGCAGGAAGCCATGCAGGTCACAGTGCGAGCTGGACCTGTGAAGGGAACATAATTGAGCCTGGCCCATTCAGCAAGTGTCTAACCGTGCACTGGGGTGAGGGAGCTCCTTGCATTAAAGCAGCTCAAGCTGTGAAAAAAAAAGTTGCCAATAAATTGGTAGCAAATGGTCTTTGTCATCTGTCTGAATGAAGAGCATGAGCCTAGGGCCCCCATCAAGTAACAACACTGGGGATTTCTGCCTCCTTCTCTTGGGATATTGTTTTCCTCAGGCTGGTGCAGAGTGGGAGCTTTTTCAGGGGGTGGGCTGGGGTTAAAGGGGCGGCAGATTCCTTCTCTGCCACAAAAGGACTCATGTGAAATGGGTTGCTTTGTTTGGATCACACAGGGCACGTGATTCAAGAGCTGTTCTCTTCCTTTTTCTTCTCTGGAGGGTGGAAGGCTGGATCCGATCCGTCGGCCCCCAGCTCGCAAGCCCTGTGCCTCCTTTTCTTCTGGCCATACCTCAGTCCCTTGGTGCTTTTGTGCTAGCGGGAGCAGCCTGCAGGCGATCCTTTTGCATCCTGGAGTTGGGCTCACTTCCTGAATGGAGAAGCACTCACGGTTACTAGGGCAACCTCTGCCCGCAGCTGAGGCTCCCGGCCTCCCTCACCTGCTGTCCCCATTCAGGGCTGCGGCAGGTCTCTAAGCGTGCTCTCCTGGTCTGCTGCAGGGCAGCGGGGGGGGGGGGGGGGGGGGGGGGGAGGGGGGAGGTTCTTCGCAGGTTTAGGGGTGCTGTAGGAGACAGACAATGCTAGTCTGGAGTGGAAATTGGCATTAGGATTAAAAGCAGAGTAAGAGGGGGTTATCTTGGTGTAAAAATACCAGCACAGCGTCCCAAAGGAATAAAAATGGAGCCTTTGGGGGGCCCAATCATGCAAAAACCTATTTGCTCATGAGTCCGATGGTCCCTGGACAGGACAGCAAAATTGCATTTATTAAGGGCCTCATTCAGATATTGTATTTTTGGTACAACATTGTCTAACCTAATTCTTTTTGCAACCTTGTGAGATGATTCCTGTAATTATCTTTATTTTTTAGGGAGGAAACTGAGGCAGAGAGCTCCCGTTCCCCCCCCCCCCCCACACACACACACACCACACACTTGCCACCCAGCCATCCTGCCACACACACACACACACACACACACAACCCTAAGACCTGAACTCACCTATTGGGATGTGGCGAACAGAACTTTGAAGCTTTAACTCTTTTTGTAAACTGCTCACCATCAGTTTTCTCCTCTTTACAAAGTCTCGTGACACAGCTAGGAAGTGGTGACCCCATTTTACAGTCAAGGAAGTGGAGGAAGCAGAGGTTAAGTGATCTGCCTACTAAAGCTAAATTTCACAGAGAGAGAGAGAGAGAGAGAAAGAGAGAGAGAGAGAAGAGAGAGAAGAGACAGAGAAAGACAGGATAAACAGAGAGGCAGTCTGTCCCTCCCCCCCCGCCCCCCCCCCCCTTTGTGTCACCCAGAGATGTCCTGTTAGCAGGTCTGGAAACTTCCATTCTCTCTTGAAGGAGAAGTTGCCCTATCACAGTCTCTTAGCACATAAATTACAACACGGTTTTCCTAAGGATCCTGAAAGTGGCCAGCATCTGGCCAGCAAGTGTGACCCTTGCCTACGACCCACTTTCAGCATTACACAAGTGAACTGATCCCCAAGAAGTTCACTTCCACACTCACAGGGAGGTAGTAGTGATTGGAGGGAGGGAGGGAGTACAAGGGGTTAGAGACCTAAAGGTCTACAAAGTAAACAAATTAGTCCCAAATGTAGCAAGAGCAGGTTCTTTAAAATATCCTCTTAAAAATTTAGTCTTTCAGACCTTAAACTCCTTCCAAAAGATTACTTTTGGTGGCCCATTTATATGCTATTCCTCATACAATCGTAATCATCTTCTAAAGGATCTTGCAGACTTTCAAATACGCTTATGCCTCTTGTGGTTTTATCTCTCTTTCAGAAATTGGCACTAAATCAGTTGAGTGTGGGTGATGGAATCTTCAAACTTCTTTAAAGTCCAAAATTGATTTCCTAAGAGTATTTAAGGATACAGAACAAAGTTCAAACAGATCACAAATATTTATTCAGGCCTTGCACTGATTCGCTGAAATAAGGTTAAAGTAAAAGGCAATTGAAGACTTAACAAGTCCTCAAAGGCAGAAGGCAATGTCCTGATTCAAAGTGTAATCACTGGCTCATTCTTCTGGTGCTCCCAAAAAAGCAGAAGTCCCAAGACATATTCAGACATATTCAGCAGTCCTGGTTATATACTGTAACTCTCATGGACAGTTCTTTTTTTCAAACTTTAATTTAATTTTGTTTAGAAAAAAAGGAATTTATATTTTTACAATTTTTAACAAAGGATTCATTTTTGTACAAAGGAAATATTCATACATGCAGTATGACCCAACCACTTTCCTGCCGTCAAGGAGGAGAGATGTGTAGAAGCTGTGTGGAAACCCATTGCATTGAACAATGAGAAATTTTAGTTCACCTCACCAACTAAAAAAATACTCTCAAATACATAAAGGTAAAAAAATAAAAACACATACATTCTTTGATACTAATATCCTAAAAAGTACCAAGCAAGACTGCAAAAAGTTACTCCTCCTAAATTAGAATTGGACTTCTGTTTTCCTAGAAAACCCAAGTATTTCTTACTTTAAGAATTTTAAAAATTAGGTCTAACTTAATTTATATTGTAAATAGGAATAGGAGGGAATAAAGATAGAAGAAAGGAAAATACAGAAGGGATTTTAGACCAGGGAGATCCCACAGCAATCATAGCAAAAATGTCTTTTTATCTTATGCTCTACTTGATGCTATTAAGCAATGCAGAAGTTAGGCGTACTAACTTTTTATTGTCCTTCAAACTTCACTACTAACCACTGCTAGTGATCAGAAGCCTCACTGATAACATAAACAGTGGCTTGATTAATATACACATTTTATATGTTATAGATATCATGTGCTATATATTTTTATAATAAAGTAAGCTAGAGAAAAAATTATTAAGAAAGTTAATGGGAAAAGAAAATACATTTGTAATTCTCTATCAAAACTTTAAGTTTAAGTAAAAGAAAGAATATTAGTGACCTGCTGCGATTCAAGGTGTGTTATCTGTATTTACTATATAGCCAAATACCTCAAAGTTTATTGGCTTCAAACCACAGCAATCATTTATTTTGTTCATCCACCTGTAGAACTCGCCAGGAAGGGCTGATTTCTGCTCAGCACTGCACTG